CTTCTTCTTCTTCTTCTTCTTCTTCTTCTTCTTCTTCTTCTTCTTCTTCTTCTTCTTCTTCTTCTTCTTCTTCTTCTTCTTCTTCTTCTTCTTCTTCTTCTTCTTCTTCTTCTTCTTCTTCTTCTTCTTCTTCTTCTTCTTCTTCTCATATGTGGTACAGTGTGGAACCTTTACTCGCTTTCTTCAATTTAGTTCATTAATTAATAACTGCCATGGCCATATCTTCTGCATCTACTCTCCAATTTTTTTACATTTAATTAACAATCGACTAAGGAATAGTAAATTGATAATTGTTTAAAATAGTCTCAAGTTGGGGAAATTATGGTGAAGAATGAACAAATGTGAGCAGCTGATTGAAAACCTTCCAAATTCTGCAATCATCATCATCTGACGTTGACCCACCCGTCGGAATCTGGAGCCCAATTGGCAGAGAATTTATGGCGGAACATTCCCTGCAGCCTGCTCGCCGGCGACTGTTCAGATCCCGGCCAGGGAAAATACGTCGCTGATGGTGCCGGCAGAGGAGACTCTTCTTCTGAGACCCAGTCCGGGCAATCGAATGGGCATCTCGGAGACGGCGAGGGGGCTGATGGCGAGGACTCCTTACTCAATGCAACGGGAATGGGGTGGGTGAAGAAGAAGAAGAAGAAGAAGAAGAAGAAGAAGAAGAAAGGGGGTGAAAGAAGAAGAAAAAGAAGGGAGTGGGAGGGGGGAAGAAGAAAAAAAGGGGGTCAAGTTGAAAATTTTAAAATATATAAAATTCTAATTTAGCCCAAATGACCGGAAGTTAACCTGGAAACGGGTAAATGGACTTTTAGTGAAAGCATTATGTAAGTTCAGGGATTTTTGTGAAAGGATTTGAAGTTTAGGTACCACTTCGAAATTCCAGTGAAAGTTCAGGTACCATTACTGAAATTTACCCCTCTTCTAAACAAATTCCAACCATCCATTACTACTTTTCAACACTTTTTAAACTCTGTAAAGTCAAAGTGTAACCTTCTTTGGACGACGAAGGGAGAAATGTTTTTCAACTTCATCATTTAACAGAAATGTCATTGAGATCACCAATTTGGCTGGTATATAAATATTCATCAAATCATGTTTTCCGCCTATTCTTTAGCTCTTCATCCTAAATTAGGATTCTTAGATCTTTATCCTTTATGATCTCACAAGTCAATTTTTTCTCTACTTAGAGTCATCTTGTATATGTGTCTCTTCTTCTTTCTCATGTAAACCGTTGTACACTTTTGACCTTGCACTTCGGGCTGCGCCTCTAGCTTTTGTTTTAGCAATATTTAACGGCTACTTTGACTTCCTCATTCCACAAGCTCACGTCATTTCCTATTGCAAATTTCCTTTATGATTCTTCTAGAACCTCTGTTGCTATCCCACAGATGCAGTTTTTCATCTTTATCCAAGTAAAATTTGCATTGCCTTCTATTGTACAATTAGTTCTTGCAACCATTTTGTCAGTAAACGAAGACTTCTTTTAACCCCCTTGATTCAATCAGATGATCCATGTGACCAACATTCTCCAATGAATTACTTCATGCCACTCTTCATGTGCCCATCAACTACATCCTTCACAAACTTATGGTTAAGAATAAATCCCCAACTCCATTCATGTTCTTCTCTCTTCTAGAATACAAACGTTTTTAACCATTAGATTTGATCACTTTATTTTCAACTCACTTTATCTCTTGGAGACACAAAGTGCTTTTTCTCCTCCGTAGTTGTTTCCACTCAATTCCATCAACTTCCGAGTTAAAGATCCTAATATTCAAGACTCTTAGTGCAATTGTGTATCATCATCAAGTGTCTAAGCCCTAGCAACCCTTGCATACTTATTACCACACCAGGGCCAAGGAAGTGTAGTCTGTTCAGCACTGTTCATATTCATAGATATGACTGGTAGTGTTAAGGGGTCAACCCAAAATAACCTTCCTTTATCAGAGGTTTTTACTGGCAAACTGCTCAGACACTTCCTTTTAGTGGGTTTACTATTCATCATTCCCTATGTCCCAGAATAATTTGGCTATTTTGATATCACTAATCTTAAGAAAAATACTATCTAGAAGTGAAAATTGAGTAGTTTCGACCACATATTCTTTTCCAAAAAGGAAAGAGACAAATTTGTTTAAATTATTTTGAGACGAATGAAAAAAGAAAGTGGGCAAATTATTCTGTGGCAGAGAGAGTATTATATATATGTTTCTTACAATCAGGTTACCGTTCCATCACTCACAAATTACTGCCAACCCAATTAAACTTTCCTTTTGTGTGGTAAAAACCTGCAGATACACAGCTGTGAGCAATCAAACCAGCATTCCGGGGCTTTGGTTTTCCTGCTGGGGCAATTATTCGCCAGCATCCCGTTCTTGTTTCTCATATCCATCACATCAAGTCTTGTGTTTTACTTCCTTGTTGGTCTGCGGAACGAGTTCAGCTTGATGATGTATTTTGTGCTGAATTTCTTTGTGTGTCTCTTAGTAAACGAAGGCATGGTTATGGTTTTTGCTTCCCTCTTGAAAGACATCTTCTGGAGCATCACGTCGTTGGTGGCTGTACATGTAAGTGGCCTTCCCTATCTTTCTCGCTCTTAAGGCCCCGTTTGTTTCCATGAAAACAACTTTTAGGAAAAGAGTTAATGCTCATTTTGGTCCTTTTGTGTGCATCTGTGAGTCAATTTGGTCCATGTATGCTGCTGCCTCGAGTGAAATTAGTCCTTGTGTAGCTAAAGAATGTGAATCAGATTAGTCCATTTAACGAAATTTATCTAAAACGTTGAGTTGGCACATTAATTAATTGACTCAAGGGACATGAGGTCATTGCCCTTGTGTCAATTAACGTGCTAACTCAATGTTTTTGTAGCACCGTCAAGATAACTTGACAATGTTTTTTAGAGCTACAAGGTCTTAGAGAGATTCACGAGTACACTTACACTATGTTTGGTTCAAGAAATTTGAATGGGAAAAGAAAAGAAAATGAGATGGAAAATAATATTTCTTGTTTGGTTAGAGAAGAAGAAAAGTGGGAGGAAAAGACAATGAGAAGACAAAATGAACTAAGGGGGGAGGGAAAACAAATTTCCTCCCATTTTGGCGAGGAAAATGAGAGAGAATCATTTTTTTTCTGCTTCTTCATAATTCCTTGAACCAAACATAGTACGGAGTATTAGATAGATAGACCAAAATGAGTATTTTAACTCTCTTTTAGGAAAACATTTTCCTCACAAGTGCTTTGATTTTTCAGGCAGTGATGATGCTCTCCGCGGGCTACTTCAGAATCAGAAGTGAGTTGCCCGGGGCTGTTTGGACGTACCCGATATCGTACATAGCGTTTCACACGTACTCAATCCAGGGAGTGTTGGAGAACGAGTATGTCGGGACATCCTTTGCTGTGGGGCCCGAGAGGAGCATATCGGGCGAAGATGCGATCCGGAATGTGTACAACATATCCGCGGACGCCCACAAGGCCAAATGGAATCATTTGCTTGTGTTGTTTCTTATGGCGGTTGGTTACCGTGTTTTTGCTTTCCTTGTACTGAAAATCTGTGGCCGGAAAAGGGCATCTGGGCATAGAGTTTCCCATGGTAACAAACATACAAACAATCCCTAACAAATGTGTGGAGGCTTATACTCTCTGTGAATGAATTTTATTATAACAAAAATGTACTGTTGGTTGCATTTGTGCATGTTTTGCCCTTATGTCTTCTCACCCCTCAATCTTCTTCTTTGCATCTCTTTGAATGTAGATAACTAACTATATTTGCACATAATAAATAAAAAATAAAAAATATGATGTTTCAAAATTATATTTTAGAATGAATCTAATGTGATACTTGACCTTGTAAAATTAGGTCCAAGTTCATAAATTTGACCTTACAAATCAAAATAAAATGAGACAAGATACTTGATACTCTTTCTTAGAACAACTCCAATGGAGAGGTATCTTGGAGAGATATATACCTCATTTACCTCTCCAAACGATCAAATTTACGTCCCCGAAATGTGTGTACTAATCCAATGGGAGGAAGGTAAATTAAAAAGGCAAACATAAAATGATTCCGCGGTATATTTCCTTCGCAAAGACCCTCTCTCTTAGCTACTCCCTGAAACACTCTGTTCAAGAGAAGAACAAAAAAGAAGCTTGTACCATTGATTTCTTGATATCAATAGAAATAAATTTAAGATTTGTGGTTTTGGAGCTGCAGTTAGTTTTTTGGTTCGACTGGACATTGAATTCAATTTTGATGCTGATAAGGCATTTAGCTTAAACATTTTTAGAAGTAATCTAAACCACCAAAAATTTAATCATAATTCCATCACTAACTACAACTGTTGTTCCCAGAGGAACAGTACCCATATCGTCTCATCATCCTACATTGCCAGCTAAACGCAAAATAACATTTCACAACAAAAAAGAACCCAAACAATGGAACGAACAAACCAAGTACTGTATATCCATTCAAAATTAGAGTATAGGGCACAAGTGCAAAAAAAAAACACCATAGGTTCCTTCAAAATGCAAGATAAAAATGCTACAAAATCCCACCAACAATAACAAGTAGTGATAATACAACTGGGCAAGCTTAGGAGTATAACCCAAAAAACTGGGATTTCACAGCCCCTATTCACACCCACCCAAATCACTCTGCTTGAACTGACTGTGTCCTCACGTCGCTGGTCAGTCAGGCCTTCAGGATACGCAAAAAAAAAAACATTGGTTTGATAATACTAGGAAAAAGAACATAAACATCAGCCATGAATGATGGATACCACTACCTGCGTGTGTTTTTCCCTACGGTCCTCTACCCACCATGACAGCGGCCGGGACTCTAAGACACCAAGTGTGTGCTGGGGGAAGTGAAGAGGTATCGTTTTTCCCCATCAATGGTTTGGTTACTCGCCCAACCCGGCCCTCCTTTTCAAGTGGTGCTTGAAATCCATGATGTCACCCTCCCATTTGGTAACTGTCCGGTTTTCACAAACCCATATCTCATGCGCGACCTGGTTAATAAGCCTAAAGTCATGGCTGACCAGAACCATCCCACCGTCCCACTCATTCAAAGCCTCTGCCAGCGAGTCGATCGTCTCAATATCCAAATGGTTGGTTGGCTCATCGAGCAGCAGCATCTGTGGTTGCCTGAAAGCCAACCATGCAAATATCACCCGGCTACGTTGCCCGTCCGATAAGTTTTTCATTGGCATCACCTGAGCTTTACCCGTCAGGCCAAACCTGCCAATTGCTGCCCTCATCTTCTCTTCCTCATTCCCGGGGTACTCTTGGATCATGTACTGAAGTGCGGACAAATCCATGTCAAGCTTTTCTGCCAAGTGTTGGTGGTACTGTGCAATTTTCAGATGGTTGTGGCGCTTGACCATTCCATCGAGGGGGGTCAAATCACCTACCATGAGTTTAAGCAACGTGCTCTTTCCTGCCCCATTTGGGCCCACAAGTGCAATCCTTGAATCCAAGTCGACACCAAAATCTAGATTCTTATAGATAAGGTTATCCGGAGTGTAGCCAAAGTTCACCTCGACAAACTGTAAAACAGGCGGGGGAAGTTTCCCGACATCTGGGAATCTGAAAACAAGGACACTGTCCTTGGTGACTTTCTGGGTAAGGCCACCCCTCTCCATCTTGGCCAAAGTTTTCTCTTTGCTTTGTGCTTGACGTGCAAGTTTGGCTGAACCATGTCCGAACCGGGCAATGTACTCCTTCATTGAAGCAATCTGCTCTTGCTCCCACTTGTATTGTTTCATCTGGTTCTCTTCAAGTTCAGAGCGTGTTTGGACATATTGGTCATAATTTCCCGAGTATATCTTCAGTTTCTTGTTTTGCATGTGAATGATGTTGGTGCATACACCATTGAGAAAATCTTGTGAGTGTGAAATAACCACCAAAATCCGGTCGAAGTTCTTTAATGTTTCTTCTAACCACACACAAGCTTCCAAATCTGCACCAAGAGAGTTCATAAGCATTTGACTCCCATAAAAACAAATCTGAACTAGTGCAACTAACTAATTGCACATAACTGGAAGCAATAGCTCATTTGTTGTTCCCTAATTTGATATGTTTTAAAATATGTCGCAGCTTTTCGGCTACAAGAAATGCAGATTTTTTTTAAAAAAATATGTAGCCTGAAAAGTTGGAGGATCCACTTCGCCAACTACATGGTAATTTTTCCTTCGAATTGAATCATTTCATGGTTTTGGATGGATAATCAGTCTCTTATTTCATGATTATTGTCCAGTATAGATCAAGAACTTTAAGATCTAAACTAATTCTCTCTTAATTGCTTACTAGTTATGTACTCTGTATGTTGACTCAATGATCAAGCTTTCTGCTGTAATATGGACCCTCAAGGTTTAGGAATTGGGCATTGACTATTTGAAAAATTCAATTTCTAATTCGTAAAAGACCTGTGATTGTTTTGTTTTTGTGTTAGTAAATGGGACTTGTACTTCGGGAAAAGATTGAATCGGGGGTTTGGATTAACTTGAAAGAGGGAGACACAATGCAACTTGGGGGATCAAGTCGGGTATACAGGCTACATTAGATTCCCTTGAGCCAAGCCTTTGATTTGGATAATCCATTTGATCCTCCAAATCTCCTTAGAAGTTGATATTTAAGAGTCATCTAAAAAGAAGAAAAAATAGGTTTCTAGGAAATGCAGATTTTAAATAATTAGATATAACAGTAGCTTTCAATGAAAAAAGAAGAGTAAATTTACCAAGATGATTTGTGGGTTCATCAAGTAACAATATGGTTGGATTCATAAATATGGCACGTGCAAGGGCTATTCTCATTCGCCATCCTCCTGAAAAGTCACGTGTTTTCTTTTCTTGCATCTTCTTAGTAAACCCAAGCCCATACAAAACCTCCGCAGCTCTCTTCTCAGCGGTAGATGCGTCCATAGCTTCCAAACGCTCATATATACGATCGAGTTGTTCCCCACCCCCATCATCCTGATGTCAGAATATAATGTGTTACCAATGATAATAATATTTAAAACAACAAATAGCTGACAAATAATTGTATCTTTTCAAAAAAAGGCACCGTACTTGTGCAGCCAATATTTCAATTTCTTTCTCTAATTTCAACCTTTCCTCATCACAACTTATAACAGCCTGAAGTGAAGACATGTCAGAAGCTTCAATCTCATGGCTAAGGTGATAAATATCCATATGCTCTGGGATGGGAAGCTCACGACGTCCTATTGCAGTGAGAAGTGTCGATTTACCACACCCATTCAATCCTAGCAATCCATATCGTCTACAAATAATGATACATATGTTATAATATAAGCTCAATCCCGCACAATAAACCATTACATCTCCAAGCACACTAAAATGGCCAAACAACCCACATACCTTCCATAGTTGAGTTCCAGTTCAGAATCAGCAATAAGTTCATGCCCATGAAACGTAAGAGACAAAGACTCAATCTGGAGTTTTGGAAAAAAAAGGTCATCAAAATTATCATCCAGCAAAACTAATCATAATGGCCAATTACACACTACTAATTCAAAAGATTTAATTTTGCAGACCTAGAAGTGTAAAAGAAAAAGAAATCAATTGTTGAACTCATAATTCCATTTGTCTAGAATCTCTGACTTTCGATAAAGCAGATGAAACTGTAAAGATAACAAACATAACACAAGGAAAATACATCCGTATTCTGCAGTTCTGCCCCAATACATCAAGCAATCCGAGATCCTGTTAAACAACAAACGGATCGCAAAACTAACCCGAATATCTCTGGACAGGGGATGCGAGCACAGAACACCGGTGCACGTCCGATCGGAAATCTGAAGCTCCTTAACTCCGTTCGACAGATTGTCAGCGCCGTTAATCTCAACACCAGATGTCGCCGGAGCCTTGGACGACGAGGCTGCCTGTGCAGATTTTCCGCCGCGCCTGGCAGCGGCAGCTGCCTTCTTCTGCGCTTCTCTCTTCTTACTAGCGTCAGAAACCATCTGTCCAATCCAGATCACAAAGCATGACCACAAAGAAAATCGACAAAACAAAATTGTAGAAGAAAACACAGAAACGGAGAAATCAAATCACCTTGATGATGCGGGAGAAGGGGAAATCTGAGGAGTGATTTCCGGGCGGCAAAACGACGTCCGGTGAATCGATTGGGTTCTGTGAGAAGGGAGAGAAAGAGGGGGCTATGGCGTTAGGGTATTGTATTTATATACTGAGTGAAGTGGAAAGACGATGGTACACGTGTCGACTCTGGAGTGACCTGATTGCGGACGGAATTACCTGATTTCTCTCTCTTCGCCGTCCTAAAACGACGACGCTTCCACATTCCCGGTTGCGGGCTCGTTTGTTGGTATCCCTTTTGGACTTTTTTGATTTGGGCCTTCCTTGTAGCAGCATCCTCTCCTACTTCGAGGTCACTCCAAACAGGAGTGAACGTGGTAGGGTATTTAACTTGTAGTTGTACTGTATCAAATTTTTCGATTCGATATGCAATGTTACGTCGTACGTGTATTCATACCGATTATAATCTCAAAGTATTAGTTCGGCAGAGTTTAAAATGTAGCAAAAAAAATTTATTTTTTTAAAACATTAAAAGTATGTTTAAATAAAGAAAAAAACAGAAAAATGAATAATTAAGTACAAGAAAAGCTTATGAAACTTGAGGTATACAAAGTATTTCACAAACTAAAGAAAACAAAGAAAAAGGGATGGTGCTATTTTTTTTCCCCCTAGCGTATCTAGGGTTCCTTCTTCTCCCTAGCAATTCTAGGGCCTTGCAATCTACCTACTTTTTCCGTCGATCTACCAATTCTCTCTCTCAATTCCGGATGGAGGCGAGGGAAGTTGATAATCTGAATCGCAGTGTGTCTCAATTGGGCTTGGAGGAAGAAGATGATGGTCTTTCTTTCTTACCAGGGGGAGGAGCGCCGCCTTTGACAGAGGAATTTCGTACTTGGACAATTGCTGGGCGATTTCTTACAAGTAAGTTGATTAAATTTGATATTATGCAACGTGTTATGGCTGCGGCATGGAAGCCTGCTTTAGGAGTGCGAATTGTCCAAGAGGGAGAAGGGCTATTTTTCTTCCATTTCTACCATGTGAAAGATGCGTCCCGAATCATTGAGGAGGGTCCATGGTCTTTTGATAATGCTACTCTTGTTTGCAAATTGCTGGAACCTGGGGAGATAGTATTAGCACATGATTTAAATTTTGTTGACATGTGGGTTCAAGTTCATGATCTCCCTCATGGGTACACATCCCCTGCAATTCTGGAAGCAGTCGGCATATTTGTTGGTTTGTTTTTGAAACATGACAGAAGCCCTGTAAGTGGTGTTCAGCGTGTATTTTACAGGATTCGTGTCTCGTTAGATGTGCGTCGACCACTACGTCGAAAGATGAAACTTACAAAAAAGGATGGTGTTGTTGTCTGGGTACACTTCAAATATGAACGGTTGAATGACTTTTGCTTCTTTTGTGGGATCATGGGTCATATTTCCAAGCATTGTAGAGAGGCAGTTTTATCTTCCCTAGACCCAGCAGAATATCCAGAATATCCGTTTGATGCTTCACTTAGAGCAGGGGGCGGAAAAAGGAATCTGGGTTTGGGTTACCATGGTTACGGTTCCAAGACCCATGGCTTGAGGAGGGAGACAAACCAAAGGATACACTGGGAGCAGTGGGTGTGGAGTCCGAAAGAGATTTGGGGTTGGAAATTGTTGCTAAAAGGAAAAGGGGTGCGGAAGAAGGGTCGATAGTTATGATGGATGCTGATGCGAGTATGATGGATGTGTCAAAAAACTTGCTAGCGGCGGGTACTGGTGTCCAGTCCCGCCGAGATCAATGAGTACCATCAGTTGGAACTGCCGTGGGTTGGGCAACCGACGGACAGTTCAGGAAATTGCGGATCTTGTATCCGTTAAGAAGCCCGACTTTGTTTTTCTTATGGAACTAAATTGTTCACGGGGAAAGGTGGAGGAGCTACGTGTCAAGATTGGGTTTGATGGTTTGTTTGTGGTTGAGGGTGTTAGGAGAAGTGGTGGTTTAGCACTATTGTGGAGGAATAATAATACAGCTAATCTTATTAGTTTCTCTAAGTTTCATGTTGATATCCAAGTCAGAATTGGGGAGAGCCCACCATGGAGGCTGACGGGTTTTTGTGGGAACCCTAGACGTGATCTTCGTTCAAGCTCCTGGACACTTTTACGGACATTGAAGAATCGATCACCCCTACCTTGGGTGGTCATTGGTGATTTTAATGATCTCTGTGCAGCCTCAGAGAAAAGAGGGGGGAGGGCTCATCCTCTCTCGTTAATGGCAGATTTTTGTTCGGCACTTGATGACTGTGGCTTGATGGATCTCGGTATGTGTGGTTATCCCTTTACTTGGGAGAGGGGACGTGGATCAGATCATTGTATTGAGGAGAGACTTGATCGTGCAGTGGGTACAGCTGATTGGATGAGACTTCACATGAAGGCTCGTGTTTACAATGTGGATATGCGCAGGAGTGATCATTCTGCCCTCTTATTGAGGTTGTCGAAAGTGACTCGTCATCCTCGGATCCGAAGGTTCATGTTTGAAAACGCTTGGCTTAAGGATGCAGGGTGTAAGAATGTCATAAAAAGTGCGTGGGAGTCTTCGAGCTCACTGTCATTGCCTGCACGACTTGAACATTGCGGTAAGGAGTTGACAATCTGGGGTGGAGACCGATACCACCTTTTTGGTAAGAAGATTTAAGACTTAAAGGAACAGGTGAATCGACTTAGAAACAAGGGAGGCACCAGTCACCTTAGTGAGCTTCGTGAAGCTGATTCTGCTTTGACCAAGCTACTGGATCAGGAAGATGCTTTTTGGCGCCAACGAGCTAAGCAACACTGGCTTAGGTCCATGGACGCAAACACCAGATTTTTTCACCAGTATGCTTCGTACAGAAAAAAGAAGAACCACATCCAGAGGTTGAGTAATGGCTCGGGTACTTGGTTTGAGGGTGATAATCTAAAACCACTGATCACTCAATACTTTTCTTCCATTTTCTGTTCTGAATGAAGTATAGACTCGGAGCTCTATCATCTTATCCAACCGAAAGTGAGTTCGATTCAAAATGATGCTCTTCTCTGTCCTTTTGCTGCTAAAGAAGTTAAGGAAGCGCTCTTTGCGATGCATCCGGATAAATCTCCAGGTCCGGATGGGATGAATCCGGCCTTCTTTCAGAGATCGTGGGATGTGGTGGGATCAGATGTTACTCGGTTTGTTCTATCGTGTTTAAATGAAGGTGTCTTCCCTGAGGCAATGAACGATGCTACCATTGTTTTGATCCCGAAGAAAAACTCCCCTGAGACAGTTGCAGATTTACGTCCTATTGCCCTATGCAACATTATCTATAAGATTGTGGCGAAGGTTTTGGCTAACAGGATGAAACCTATTCTCCAGATGATTATTTCTGATACGCAATCGGCTTTCCTTCCTGGTAGACTGATTTCGGATAACATTCTTTTGGCAGCAGAGTTGGGTCATTTTCTTAAAAGGAATTATTCCGGGCATCAAGGTTGGGTGGGCTTGAAGCTAGACATGGCAAAAGCATACGATCGCATGGAATGGACCTTTTTACGACGGATGATGCAGTGTTTGGGTTTTGCAGAGAGGTGGATTAATTTGATCATGTTATGTGTAACTACAGTTAGATATCGGGTGTTGGTTAATGGTGAGTTATATGATGTTATTCTTCCCACTCGTGGTCTTCGTCAAGGGGATCCAATAAGTCCTTATCTTTTCATCCTTTGTGCAGAGGGTCTATCTACACTTTTGCAAGATGCAGAGCGCAGGGGTGTGCTTCATGGTATTCATGTTTGTCGGGGTGCCCCCTCCATCTCCCATCTCTTATTTGCTGATGACTGTTTGCTCCTTTTTAAAGCATCAAATGCAGAGGCCAGTGTAGTTCGGGATTGTCTTGTGGAATATGAGCGAGTTTCAGGGCAGGTTATTAATTTTAACAAGTCCACTATCTATTTTAGTACGAATACCTCATATGAAGTGCGGGGAAGCCTCACACAGTTCTTTGGGGTGACTCTAGCAGATAACTTTGGAAAGTACCTTGGCTTACCCTCCTTTCTATGTCGGAATAAGACCGAAGTATTTACTTACATAGCTGATAAAATTCGTCACCGAATTGGGGGGTGGACTAAAAAATTGTTGCATAAAGCAGGGAAGGATGTTTTACTCAAGACTGTGGCTCAAGCTATGCCTCAATTTGCGATGAGTGTGTTTTTGCTCCCCAAGTCTATGTGCTCTAAGTTGGAGCGGTTGATGAATGCCTTCTGGTGGCACGGGAAAGGAAACTCAGAGATGGGTATTAATTGGCTCTCTTGGGAGCGTATGGCAGTCCCTAAAAAATTTGGGGGTCTCGGTTTTAAAAATCTCCACGGGTTCAATATTGCTATGTTGGGAAAGCAAGGCTGGAGATTCCTCACTAAACCTGATGCCTTGGTGTCTCGGGTCTTCAAAGCAAGGTACTTTCCAACCACTTCTTTTCTTGAGGCTAAGTTGGGGGGTACACCTAGTTATTGTTGGCGTAGTATTCTTGCTGCCCAATCCCTTATTAAGGTAGGGGCCCGTCGTAGAATTGGCAATGGTTCTGACACTCTTGTTTGGGACAGTCCGTGGCTTCCAGACGCAGCTGATCCACGGGTGTGCGTCGATCCGACCACCCATTGGCCTAATTTCCCAATTTCTTTTCTTATTGACAGAGAGAGTGGTTTCTGGAACTTGGAGCTACTGCATCAGCTGTTCGACCAAAGGGACATTGATTTAATCCTAAAAATTTCTCCAGACATGAATAGGGGTGATCGGTGGTTTTGGGCTGGACAGCCGCATGGGCAGTACACAGTGAAGGATGCCTATCGTAAATTCATGGGTGAGGCAGATTCTGCACTTGGTTTTTCAAATTGGGGACGTCTTTGGAAGATCCCGGTGGCCATGAAAGTGAAGGTTTGTTTATGGCGCGCTCTTCGAGGTATTCTTCCAACCATCCCGGCTCTTAATTCTAAAGGTTTGGATCTTGATAATTCCTGTCCGGTGTGTGGCCAATCTGGAGAGTGACTTGAACATGTTTTTCTCCGGTGCCGTTTAGCAGATGGAGTGTGGAGGAGTCCGCATATTGGAGGAGATAGAAATCTGACTTTTGGGGCTTGGTTCCAGCGGCAGTCCGAGGTTTGTACTCTTGATGGGCTACAGATTGTGGCTTGGGCTATTTGGGCACTCTGGAAAACTCGAAACACCGCTGTCTGGGAACGGCGTGTGGTAATGCCGCAGGTTGTGGTTCAAATGATTCACTCCATGATGGAAAGATGGAGGAGCAGATTTGATGATACTGGACAGGAGGGAGCCGTCCTTCCCCTGCGTGTTCGTCGGCCAGGTGTGTTGCAGTGTTTTGTGGATGCAAGCCTTTTCCCGCAGACTGGACGTGTTGGCTTTGGTGGAATTCTTCTTACCCCCGAGGGCCATTTTCAGGCAGCGTGTAATGGTCCTCTTTGTTGTGTTCAAGATCCATTGGTGGCGGAAGCTTTGGCATGTCGTGAAGTACTTTTGTGGCTAAGACGGCGTGGTGTGCGTGAGGTCGAGCTTTTTTCGGATTGTCTTAGAGTGGTGCAGTTGCTTTGTCAAGAGGTAAGTCCCGATATTCCTTCATACTTCGGGGGCGCCATTGATGGTTGTAGGGCTATTTTAGTTGAGTTTGATTTCATTTCTTTTAATTTTGTTCGTCGTTCTTGTAATAATTTAGCTCATGTTTTAGCAAGAGGGTGTGATACTCATTTTGTGTTTTGGGACATTGTTCCCCCAAATTTTCTTCTCCCATTGATGAATCAATAAAATTCACTGTTTTGTTTCAAAAAAAAGAAAACAAATAATTACAAAATAGTATTTGAAATGTTTGTTAATATTTTAATATTTATCTATAAAAAACTAAAACCCTAATAAAAATATGATTTACACATCATAAAATTTGAACCAAACTTTGAAAATAAATTTATTATTTAATAAAAAACAAAAATAGAAAAATATTTTTATAATATATTAGTATATATATTCGGTTCGTGATTTTCAGTATGGTAAATTATCTTGAACCGTTCCCAAATACAATACTCATCGTTCGGTTGGTACGTCTTGATTCTTTGGTGATATTTTTTTCTCAGTTTGGTATTTTTAGTTCGGTATTCCTGATTTTTAGGTAAATTTCAGGATCGGTTCAGTACTTGCTCACCCTCATTGTCAATATTTTTATAAAATTTGAATTTTCAATTTATTTGTATATAGACTTTGTGCAAACGCTCTCGCAACTCACTTAAATTATAGCTACTCTCACTCTAACACATTAATGATAAATTCAGAGTAATTATTTAACTACAACGGGAACCATAATTATTTTATTGTATAAATGTTTAATTTAATGATGTAAAAATACAGCTCAATTCTTATGTCCACCCAAATATCTTCAATCCTGGTTAAAGATAAAAAGGACTTCCGATGTATTTAAATTGTGTTCTATTCTTTTTAATTATATCCATTTTAGCACAGGTTCTTTTTAACAAATATGTTTATAATTAGATCCTTAATAAAAGTCAAAATAATTCAAGACTAATTTATTTTAAATACAACTTCCAAGTAAAAAAATTAATAATCCATATTAAAGTTATTTAAGATATTAAGATGAACAATTAAATGAACCAACTACTAGCTCCAAAGAAATTTAAAAATTCATAGTTTGAAGCACAAAAAAAATATTTATTGGAATCATATCATAAAAGTTTTATAAGAAATTGGAGAATATATTGAATCAATCAAAATTTTTCAAAAGCTTGAAGGTTTGTTCTTGAGCTCCAAATATGGTTGAGGGTGATGATGATGAAAATGGGGTGAATTTTTATATGTTTGGATGATGGAGGTAGAGACATTTTAGAGAGAGAAGGAGAGAAATTCGAGTGAATGGAGGAGGATTTTGGGTCTTGTTTCCACGCCAAAAATTGAAGAAGAAGAAGAAGAGAATTGAAGTTTTTTTTGTTAAAGTGTAAAATTCTTTCGTGACAATTTTTATTGATAAATTTGTATATATGGAGTATACACGAATAGTAGGGCAATAAGTCAACAAAATAACTATAATAGAAATTGGGATGAGGTTCGTGTTTTATACAGTGGATTGTGAGTTCAATCATTTCTAGATGTCGAATTGTTGCTAGTTTTTTCCCTTTATTTTGTTTCTTGATTGAACATGCGACCTAATCACCATTACCCTCAACCATTTTTTTGAGCTCAAAACACCTCTTCAAAAGAAATCACTATAAAAAAGACTAAAATATAGAGAAAGTACCAAAGTAGAAGGTCTTTGGTGAAAAACTAAAAGGCATGACTGGGTTTGCTGAAAAACTAAAATATCCCAATCATTTCTCAATTTCTTATAAAAAGGCATGACTGGTTTGCTGAAAAACTAAAATACCTCAAGCCAATCATCAAGACATGGAAAAGGGAGGTCTTTGGTGATATCTTCCTCAATGTAAAGAATGTTGAACAACATGCGTCTGAAGCACAAGCCAAATACGAAGACAACCCCACTGAGAATCTGAGAACTAAATCAAACCTGGCTGCAGCAAAACTCCTTCATGCTTGTAAACTTGAGAGCATTTATTGGAAACAAAAAGCCAACATTACTTGGTTGAAAGATGGCGACTCAAATGCTAAGTTTTTCCATTCATATGTCAAAGGGAGAAGAGTTAAGCTTAAGATATCATCCATCTTAGATGATTTGCCATCATAGATGATTTGGGGATCGGTCATGAGAAGGAAGATCACATTGGTAACCTAGTAGTGGAGCACTTCTCTGCATTATATGCAGAATACCACACTGCGGACCCATACACTATCACCAAATACATCCCCACCACCATTACCGAGGAGGACAATATTTTTATGAAAAAGCTCCCTGATTTGGAAAAGATTAAGGATGCAATTTGGTCCCTTAACCAAGATGCTGCAACTGGTCTAGATGGATATAATGGCAGATTCTTCAAAAATTGCTGGAACATTATCAATAAGGATTTACTTCTTGCTTGTCAAGAACTCTTTCTTGGAATCAAAATGTCATATTCTTATGGAAGTACCATCATCACCCTAATCCCTAAAGTGGATAATTCAGTGAGATGGAAGGACTTCAGACCTATTTTGCTATCTATTTTCATGAGCAAGATAAACACTCGCATACTTGCTAATCGGCTTGTCACTTTATTGCATAAAGTGATAGGACCTAAACAAGCTGGCTTCCAAAAAGAGAAATCCATTGATGATCAAATCCTCTTGGCACAATAGTTGGCACATCAACTTGAGCGCAAGGTTGAGGGGGGAAACACCATTATAAAGATTGAGATGGCCAATGCATTCGATAGAATAAGCTGGAGATACCTAGAGGTTGTCCTAATCACGATGGGTTTTAGCAACTTTATCACCAACCTACTCTTGAGCAATCTTCATGCCACAAAGATTCCCATTATGATTAATGGGAAGCCTAAGGGTTACTTCTCTATGAAGAGGGATGTGAAACAAGGGGATCCTCTTTCCCCACTTCTTTTTATTCTTGGCAGCGAAGGATTGAGAAAAGCTCTTGAGCATGGGGTTCAGTCTAAGTTCCTCAAACCCTTTAACAGCGGAAGAGGCCCTATCATTACTCATCTTAGCTACGCAGACAATTTGGTGATCTTTCTGAATGCAAGTGCATGTAACCTCCTTCGTTTCATGTCTATTATTAAAACCTATACTCTTGCTTCGGGACAAGACATTAACTGGGCTAAGAGCAGGTCCTTTGTAAGCTCTAAGACCCCTATCACAAAATGAATGCAAATGGAAAAGGCTCTTAACATGAGGTGCGGCAAATTACCCTTTATTTACGTTGGAGGGAGCATTACTAAGGGCACTCTTAGGAAGGAGGACTGTCAACTAATACTCCAGCATTTCGACAAGTTCATATTCTCTTGGTACTCTAAGACCCTTAACCTAATGGGTCGCTTAATCCCGATCAAACACGTACTCTCCTCCATACCTCTTCACCACATGGCGGTCAACGAGCTCCCGAAATCAATCATCAACACCCTTCATACCAAGATAAATAATTTCTTTTGGGGCTACAACAATGGAAACGCTAAGTACCACTGAAAATCTTGGGAATATCTATGCAAGTCGAAGAAGGAGTGGGGGCTTAGGATTAGGGACTTACAACAAATTCAAATGGCTTACTCTCTTAAGCGCATATAGAAGGGTCATCATGTGGAGAATCTTTGGACCAGCTATATGAGAGACAAATACATTACTAATAGGGCTGGGGTCAAGGCAAACCTCCCGGACTCCCCCAAGAGAATGTGCAAAGCCCATGCCTACGTAGAGGACGGTGATTTTGGTAGCACTCTTCCCCTCAACCTCACTATGAAGGATGCTTATCAGCTTGCTATAGACTCTGGCCCTACTCTTTTCTCGTCTAAATACACTTGGAACATCTTCTTCCCACAAAGGTTCAACTCTTCCGTAGGCTTCAATACCACCTTCAGTCCAGATGCATTTTCTCATTGAGAGATGAAGATCACAGAGACCACTCCCTGCTGGCCTGCCCGGCACTTAGAGGAATATGGAAGGAGTTTACTATTAGGACAGACGGGCCAATATGAAAAGAAGGTGTCACCCTACGTTAGCATCTCCTCCAATGGTGGCTTTCAGTTAAAAAGATAGACTTCAAGGGTATTCTGCGCTCTTGTCTACCGGGTTTCATCGTTTGGGCTATCTGGAAGGCCTACATGACATGTGTCTATGGAGGGGAGCAGGTCAACTTAGGAGGATTTATATCATCAACTGGATCAGAAGATGGACGCATATGCATTCTAGAAGAACATGGCTCATGAAGTCGAAAAGGATGGAGGATCTTGGCCTTTCGGATTGCTGGTTGAGTTTATTGTTGTTATTGAGTTTATTGTTGTTACGTTGTACATGGATATTCTCTACTTCGGGGTTTTGGCTTAGTCCCCCCAACTTTTTATTCAGTCCTTCTTTTAATAAATTGGTATGGACGGCCTGAACCTTACCCCACCGTTTTTTGTGGTGCCTTTCAAGTTTTGAATATATATATACATATATATATATACATATATATATATATATACACACACACACACACATACATACATACATATATATATATACACACATATATACATATATATATATATATACACACACACACATACACATAGCATTCATAGAACAAGTAGAAATCAACCAAATAATAGAAGCTGACTAATAAGCAAATAAGAAATCATCATAAATAAGAGTAAAACATATAGAAAGTACCAAAATATATATGAGTTCCATATTTTTATTCTCTAAATTAGAGTTCGCACTGTGATAATGTTTCACCGTACATGTGCATTTTGTTATAGTTTTTGGTAATGTACATGGTCATAATTGGTAATGTAAATGCATTCTAGTTCTTATTTTGAGAATAAAAATATGGAACTCTTATTTTGATATATTTTCAATGTTTTACTGTTACTTTAGACCTTTAGTGCTTTTCCCTAAGCAAATACTATCATAAATAATACTCCCTATGTTCCAAAATAAGACTGCTTATTTCTTCTTCAGAACATCCCAAAATCTCATCTTTTCACTTTTGGAAAATTTTGTATGGCCTAGCACAATAGCACC